GGGAGGAGTGACGCAGAAACACTCATATTGCTAGTAAAAATATAAACAAAGCAAATGCTCAATTAGAACATTCTGAACCATTTCAAGTGTTGCTATAAACTGTGAATTATCTGAGGACCTTTAGTATTAGCATCGGTAGCTTCCACCCTCTTCCACAATGATTCACACCTGCTTTCCTATGCTAAAGATCTCCAGTTGGTTGTTACAGAAATTAAATGAATGAACTCACCACCACTGTAACTGCCCAGGGAATTATTTTTGCTTTAGTTTGTGCCCATCTAGCTTTTAAGGGTGAAATTCACTCCAGGGCAAGGGACACCCAAGTTCCTATGCATCACTTAAGACCTCATCAAAGTGATTCCTAGGGTCTTGAGGTGAATTTTGCCCCTAAGTACATAGGGTAGGCAAAGAAAAATGGTGACCTCAAACTAGTTATTTAATGGTGCACAGTAATTTTGTGTGTGTGTGTGCAAAAAGCTCATTAAGACAAGATACTCTTTACATTTGGAAAAATAAAGCCGGAGTTACATTGGCGTAACCAGCAGAACTTGGCCCACAATTTTGAACAAAAGCTTGTAGGATTTATATTCTGTGCTTAAATGTAGGCCAAGATCTGAGTTAAATGTCCCCTCTCATTCTCAAAGCCTAACCACCCATGGTCAGCTTTTCAACTCTGAGATGCATAGCCCAAGAATATCAGAGTAACTAGAGGAAGAGCCATGCAGTGACCTCAATCCATAGTAGATCTCCTACTGATATTAGCAGGAGTCACGTGTAAAGATCAAGGGCAGCTCCAATTGTTTCTAGCCCATAAATGATAGTTCTGGTCCTTCACTGTGGGTCTCTTCATAATGTCATGGAGTTTAAGGCCAGAAGGAATAATTAGATCTCTAGTCTGACCACCTTTATATCACAGGCCATTAATTTTCACCCATTTACCCCTATTTTGAGCCCAAAGACTTTAATTAGACCAAAGCTTTTCAGTCCGCAGAAGACTAAACTCTGCCTCACAGGCAGTGAACAGGAGAAACCCAGGTGCCACCAATGCCTGAGGCTCCGGCAATAGCAGGCCATTGCTGAGGTGAGAAATGCCCAGATGACCTAGGATGGATCTAGACTGTTCTCAGTGGTGGCAGATGACAGAACAAGGAGTAATGGTCTCAAGTTGCACTGGGGGAGGTCTAGGTTGGATATTAGGAAACACTTTTTCACTAGGAGGTTGGTGAAGCACTGGAATAGATTACCTAGGGAGGTGGTGGAATCTCCTTCCTGAGAAGTTTTTAAGGTCAGGCTTGACAAAGCCCTGGCTGGGATGATTTAGTTGGGGATTGGTCCTGCTTTGAGCAGGGGATTGGACTAGATGACCTCCTGAGGTACTTCCAACCCTGATATTCTATGATTCTGTGACCCCAGCCGGTGAACTACACCCTATGCTGCAGAGAAAGGTGAAAAAGCCCTAAGATCCCAGACAATCTGACCTAAGTGAAAATTCATCCCTGACCCCAAAACTGGTGATTATTTGACTGTGAGCAAGACACACCAACCAGACATCGAGAAACTGGCTTCTCCCTATCACCTCAGAGCACTAGTCCACCACCCACGTCCAGTGTCAAATCTCCAGCGATGGCCAATCTCTGATGCTTTAGAGGAAGATGAAAATTCCAGAATACAACTTGTCAACTATGCATTGCATGTACAGAATTCCCGCTAATGTTAATGGGACTTCTGTAAACAAATTAATAGAGCAGCCCATTGTTCTAATTTTAACGATTTTAGCTATTTTTATCTCTAAGCCCATAGCTTATCATTTGAAATCAACACCTTCAAAAATTAATAAGCAGCACGAGAAAACCATCTTTTTACTGTTGTGTTGGAAAACAAATTGTACACGCAGCACACAGTTAGCCACTAGCATATTTACTTAGTAAGTGTACTTTAATATCTTTTCACAATTTACCTTGATAACAGAGAAATAAAATTGAAGTTGCTACCATGAAACACTCATCATCATCTTCCTGCAGCAACAAAAGTCTAAATGTCAAGACTGGGTGGCAAACACAAGAGTAAGTTCTAGACCAGTGGTTCCCAAACTTGTTCTGCTGCTTGTTCATGGAAAGCCCCTGGCAGGCCGGGCCGGTTTGTTTACCTGCGTGTCCGCAGGTTTGGCCGATTGCGGCTCCCAGTGGCTGCGGTTCGCTACTCCAGGCCAATGGGAGCTGCTGGAAGCAGCGGCCAGTAAGTCCCTCAGCCCGTGCCGCTTACAGCAGCTCCCATTGGCCTGGAGCAGCGAACTGCAGCCACTGGGAGCGGCGGTCGGCCGAACCTGCAGACGCGGCAGGTAAACAAACCAGCCCGGCCCACCAGGGGCTTTCCCTCAACAAGCGGCGGAACAAGTCTGGGAACCACTGTCCTAGGCAGAGGCTAATAGTAGAAGTGGAATCTGATCCTGTGTCAGGCTTCATAATAGCTGTTCTGGTCACGCTGAAGTTCCTCTGGGTGAAGGTTCTGTGTAGTCAAAGTGATGCATCATTAAAAAAATAAAAATCACTGTGAGGTGTGAGGGATACACTCTTCAGAAGAGTAAAGCCTTCCCCATGTTGTTTTTTGGATGGGCTGGAGCCAGGGAGGCCTGCTCTTTCACTGAATCCAAGGAATTTATTAAAACCGATCCTGTTGGACCACTTACTGCCTGATGCCGTTGAAATCCCAATAGCCTTAGGCCTGTGGATGCCAAGGCACCAAACATCCTGAGCAGGCACCGATTGCCAAAATCCCCAATCCGAAAGTGAGATAAAGCATCAGCAAAACAACTAGCAACCCACGGTACACGGTGTTCTTTAACTGAATTACTCTTTGAGTAGGACAAATTCTGAATCACGTGATATTGGGCAGGCAACTTTTTGGCAGTACCCCTGAAGGCAAGAACCACGAGGTTTGCACAAGGAAGCTCCCAGATGTGGCTCATCACTCAACCATCATTTGCCCCAATAGCAGTCTACACTTGGGGAAAAGTAGATTCTGATTTTAAATTACCTGACACAATAAGAGCCCTTCAAAAACCAAAGTGATCAAACTGTAAGTCTGTGGGAACCTGTATTTTCAGCTGCTCTCGAAGTAAATCAAATCAGGTAGGCGCCTCTCCACTTGAAATTGTTGCTTTGGTTGGAAAAACATTAGTTTACAAGGTTAATGACTGGGAAGAAAAAAAGCCAACCTCACTCTTCTAGCCATTCAGCAGTGACTGGCTGATAAACGTAAGAAGTCTGGAGTCTAGACAGAAAATTGTTCCCCTTAAACAGGGTGCTCGGAAATATTAGTGGGAGAGGTTTCACCGAGGAATTTTTTAGGAGTGAATCTAGTTGCTGGTGGTGTCAATTATCCCCCTCTCTTTTTGAGTGTGTGTGTGCACGTGCCTATCTTTTATTCTTCCTGTCTTGTTTCTCTCTTTGCGTGTCTCTCTTGCTTTCCCCACAGACACTCTGAGTCACCCACTGTTTTTCTTCTTTCAGGAGCACTAGAGATTTGTACTTTAAGATTATCAAGTGGATTATGCATAGAATCTGTGTACTGACTGTTTTGATGCTAATTACGTCCTTTTTTATTCTGCTCCTGCTTCATGTGCCTATCATCAAAATCTGCTTTGCAAATGGTAAATGATGACAGTTTGATTTACGTTGAGGAGATTAAGGGTTTCTGACTGTCAGAAGTATTTTTTTAATCTCAGCTGGCTAACAGCTAAGAATTAAGTCTTGGTGCATAATGATAATATGCATTTTTCCAGACTCCTTCAGGTCTGATTTATTTTCTTGAAAAGTAGATGCATTTGCAGCATACACAGCTGGGCATGTCTATGCATGGAGGCACACCTTTCTCAGGTGCTGACACCTGCTATGCAGATGTAAGAATGTATCAGTTGCACTTAGATTCATAGATTCTTAAGGCCGGAAGGGACAATGAGATCATCTGAGTGATCATGTTCAGTTACTTGTGCACTATGATCCTGTCATCAGCCTGCCTGTGACAGACCCCCTAGACTCTTTTCATAGTCTCTGCTTTCTAGGACAGTGGTTTTCAAACTCTGGGTCGGGACTCAGTACTGGGTCGGGGGAAGTGAGGCACTGGGTCACACAGCGGCTCTGGTCAGCACTGCCGAGCGGGCCATTAAAAATCCCGTCGGCTGTGCTGCCCAGCTAAGGCAGGCTAGTCCCTACCTGTTCTGACACCGCGCTGCGCCCCGGAAGCAGCCAGCAGCAGGTCCAGCTCCTAGGCAGTGGGGCCACAGAGCTCCACGCGCTGTCCTGGCCCGAGCAAAGTCTCTGCACTCCCATTGGCCGGGAACCAGCCAATGGGAGCTGGGGGCGGGTCGGTGCCTGCAGGCTAGAGCTGCGCGGAGCCGCTTGCGCACCTCCACCTAGGAGCCAGACCTGCTGCAGGCCTGCTTCCAGGTTTCAGCATCGTCCACAGTGCCAGGACAGGTAGGAAGCCTGCCTTAGCCCCCCCACTGCACCGCTGACCGGGAGCCGCCCAAGGTAAGCCCGCACCCCAGCTCTGATCCCCACCCCAAACCTGCAGCCCCTTCCTGCATCCCAAACCCTTCATCTCCAGCCCCACCCCAGAGCATGCACCCCCAGCTCAGAGCCCTGACCCCCCTCCCGCACCCCAAACCCTTGCCCCAGCCTAGAGCCCCCTCCCACACTCTGAACCACTCATCCCCAGCTCCGTTGGGTCACAGGCATTAACAATTTTCTTCAACTGGGTCACCAGAAAAAAAGTTTGAAAACCACTGTTCTAGGATATAGTCCCGTCTCCCCATACCCATTCTGTAGATATGACCTGCATTCCTTGTTCCTAGATGTATAACTGTGTATTTGGCTGTATTAAAACACATTTTGTTTGAATGGATCCAGGTGGTGGTCCAGATCCCTCACCATCATTGTTTACCACTTTGACAATCTTAGTGTCATCCACACATGGTATCAGCAATTATTTTGTATTTCCAGATCACCGATGAAAATGTCAAATAGTGTCAGGCTAGTACCAATTCCTGCAGAAAGTTCCTGGAAACAATCCCCATTGGATGATGATTCCCCATTGATGACTGCTTTGAGCTATTAGAGACACAAAGGTGGGTGCAGTAATATCTTTTATTGGACCAACTTCTGGGGTGAGAGAGAGAAGCTTTCGAGCCACACACACAGAGCTCTTCTTCAGGTCCCAGATTGTTCCTATATGTATGGTCTTGTGTTTGTCTGTATTGAAGGACATTTTGTTTGAATGGGTCCAGCTTACTAAGTGAACCAGATTGCTCTATACAATTTTCCTGTCCTCATCATTAATCACCAGTCTGCCAACCTTTGTCATCCATAAACTTTATCAGCCGTGCTTTTACATTTACGTCAGCGTGTAGGAGTTGGATCTTAAAGTGAACTTGCATGTATTACAAGGCCCCACTGAAATGTACCCCTTTACTGGAATTACACACCGGGCTTTCTGCAGCCTTTCTGGCTTCCTTATATGGGGGCTGGTTGAAAGCTAGTTTGGCTTCCTACATAAATTAGAGAGGGTTCAGGGCTGCTCTAATCTACACCCAGACTTCAAGTGGTCATTCTGGCAGCTGGGCATAGCCAGAGTGAGAAGACATGGAGTGTTCCACCGTGTGCTACCTGAGAATCCCCAATAGCCAGGTTAAGCCAGCCTCTTTGCACTACCAGAAAGTATGGGGGGAGGAGTCAAATCCCCAAACTTGTTTCTCTTTCAATGGTAAAAATAGACAAAGCTATAATATAGTTTCATTTGAGATTGGCCTACCCGGTAGGTCAAACTTCCTTATTTTGGAGCCTCCCACAATTTTATGTCTATTTTATAATCTATCGGACATTACCCTCTTATCCTGCACAGCTCTAGCAACTACATTTCGAACCAGTGTTGAGGTGAAGGAAATTTTTTGTGTGAACTGCATTACAGAAATGTATCTTGTAAAAGATCAAGTGTTCCTTTAATATAAACGTCTCTTAAAGGAAGCTCTTGTCTTTCCTGCCTTTTGTACCATCAGTTAAACATGGGGCCAAATTGCCTGCTATTGTAAACTGGTGTGGTTCCACTGATATCAGAGCCAGGCCAATTTATACCAGTAGAGAATTTCCCCCAAGGTTTGTATAATTGAGGGAATAATGCAAAGCTTTGTTTTCTTAATGGTTTGAAAAAAGAATGAAGAAAACGTGAGAGTACTGAGCTGTTCCTGGTCGAACTTTGGTTAGGAACTTAATAAACATACGTATTTTCAAGACTTTTTTAAATTTGTTCTTCTAGTTTGGCAGCGGAGTTAAAGTTCAATTAAGTCTCTCTAACCTTGCTGCAGGGAAAGCTTGGGGATCGTTTGTTATTTTAAATCCCTTCACTTTTCAATTGTCAAATTCAATTCAGGGAGCATTTACAGTTTCATTGGAAAGGGGCAATGGTGAGAGAAAAAAAACTGTTCCGGAATCGGATGAATGATTTTTAAACTCTCAGCGGTTGCAGTCTAATCTTCATAATCCTGTGGACAGAAAGTGTTACTGGGGGTATTTTCTTATCTCGATATGCAGGGAGCTATATGTGCAAATCTTCATGCCCCAGAGTGAAACTATAACCCAAGGGATTTAACCCATAGACTTACACCTGTGTATGGTTTATGGATTTACATGAATAGGCAGATGTAAGAGACTTTTATTTTACACAGAGTGGGCCCTTTGAAGTCAATGGAGGCCTTTTCATGGACCTCGGTGGGTTTGGCTAGAGCCTGTTGTGCTGCCCAAAATGTTTAGACTTGCACAGACTTTTCATTTAAAGACCGAACCTCTGATTTGTTTGTGTGTTTTGCTTTGTGTTTGTTTTTTATAAAGATCATTGGATCTCAGTGATGACATCCTGGCCCAGTGAAGTCAGTGGGGAGTTTAGCTATTGACTACATCGGGCCAGGATTTCACCTCGGCTCCTCCGTCACTAGATCCCATAATGCGATCCCCAACTCTTTGGAACATGTTTACACTTCTGTACAGTACACCACGTCTTTCCACTATCCTTTCCCTCTCCTCCCCATTGATCCACTCTGCTTTTGTGATTGACAGCAGCCTATAGGCACTAGGAGTTCATGGCCTGCAAATTAAAGTTTAATTTGTTAAACTGTCATTGAGCCAGTCATGGGGGAGTTAGCCAGCGCCTGCGAAACCTGAGCCATGTTAAGAAATCTCTTAGCTGTGCTATTAGGGCCGATCCAAAAGTCCACAGAAGTCAGTGGAAAGAATCCCACTGAGTCTAATGTGCCTTGGCCCAGCTCCATAGGACCCATGCTGTGGAAGGAGAAACTTCTAGTTAGTCCTAAACCATAGTGTCCTCCAATAGCCTTTTCAGTGCAGGCTTGAGCCCTCCTCTGAGACATTGGCTCTGCTTCCATGTTGGACTGCTTGGGGACCCTGATGGTGGGTGGTGCATGAAGCATTGAAGCATCCAGACTGAGGAAGAGAGTTTCTTCAACTCCGAGAAGCTTGCCGAGCAGAGCCCTGACCATATTCAATGCTCATCTGAAGGGTAGTCACTGCAGATGCTTCACTTTTCCCAGGGAGATGGGGAATCTCATCCTGGGGCTTCAATTCCCTACCTTCAGGACAGTTCCCTCTCTGGCAGCTCTCCTTCCCTGTCTTGGGGCTGCTTTCATTTCCAGTGGCATTGCAGGGGATTCCATGTGGTCAGATGCAGACCCTGTGCATTCAGACAGTCCAGGTCCCTACTAGTGCACTTTTTAATAACGCTTTCCATTTAACTAAGTAGGGCATGGACTGGCTTCCAGCACTGCCCAGGATAAAGATTCTCTTGTTCCTTTTTCACTTCCAACCCCTGATGCTCACGCGCCTTAAGCCTCCAATCTATCACAGGTTTGTCTGGAGCCTGAGCAGTCCTAAAAGTGCTGCTACCATGTGCCCGTGGAGCAAGTTGTGGAAAATGCGAGATCACAATCGAACCCAACATTTCTTGGGCTAGTGCTCTAGAGGTGTGTCCTGTAGTCAAACGCAGAGCCGTAACTAAGCATTTTCAGCAGGGGTGAGCAACCATATTTGTATCCCTTAGAGGCTACGTGGGGTGAGATTTCTGCCTCTCATTCAGCACAGAGGTTTTCAAACTGTGGGGCACGCCTCCCTAGAGGGATGTGCCCCCCAATTTGAAAACTGTCGCCTCCTGCCAGGAACTAGCAGATTGGAAGCTGGTGGGAGCTGCCCACTCCACTCAGGCCCCTGGCTCTCCGCGCTGTGGGAGCTGGGGCACTGGCTGGCTGCCCGGCAGCCCTCCCTGCCCTGGTTCCCAACCCAGGCCGCCTCTGCACAGCCGGGAGCTCCTCAGGCAGGGTGGATGGCACAGCTCCAATCTGCGCCCCGACACGCACTTGCCTCTGCCCTGAAGGAGCCTGGCGCCAGCCGGTGACACCCCCCTGGAGCTGACCCCTGCCCATGGAGCCCGGCTGCCAAGAGATGCTCCCCAAAGTGCTCCCCAGAGTATTCATTCCCCTTGGGCACCTGGCTCTCAGCAGCCTGGTCAGACCCCACTCGCCACCCGGGGACCTGCCATTGCAGCCGGGTCACTCTCCCGACACTCCCTGTGTGCAGAGTGGAACCACCCTTTGCTTTCCTTGGTTGTCCTGCCTCTGCCCCGTGGCTGCCAGGCTTGTGGCCGCACTGCCCGAGCTCTGAGCTCGGCTACGTGAGCCCCGTGCCCAGCCCAGGTGCTGGGGGCAGGTGGCTGCTGGCAGGGTGGACTTGCTTCCACCAGCTCCAGAAACCAAGGCCATGGGAACAGGGGTTACCATATTTCAAGTTTCCAAATACAGGACACTGCTGGGGGGAAGGGGCAGGAGGAGCTAGAGGGGGCATTTACGGGGTGTTGGAGGGGGTATCTACAGCAGGGGTACTCACTGGAGGTGGGCTGCTAGAGCTGGTGGGGGAGATGGGCTGGTTTAACGGGAATCCCAGTTGTTGCAAAGGGGATGCTGCATGCGGGGCTCCCGCTTCCCCTTCTCTTCCTCATCCCATCCCCTTTCCCCACTGCCTTTTCCCCATCCCTTTCTCTTCCCCCTGCCCTATCCCATCCCCCTTCCTTCCCCACTGCCTCTTTCCCCCACTCATCCTCCTTCCCGCATACCCCCTTGCCCTGACCACCCCCCCATGGGCACTCACCAGTGTACAGGAAACAGGATAGTGGCTATGCAGGGCACCCAGCACATGTAGAAGGCAAAGCCAACCGGCACTAGGACCTAGGAGGTGGTATCCAGCTGCCAAGGCGTCCGGGCCTCTGTTGGGGGGGAGGCAATGCCCCCCACCTCCCAAAACTATGTCCAGGGATTCCAGCTGATGCTGCTGGGCCCAATCATGCACCACCCCATTTTTGTGCCCTCACCAGCTCTGCACTCTGGGTGGCTGGCCCTCTCGCCCTGCCCGAGATATGGCCCTGGTCAAAAGTGACAGTTTTCAGAAACAACGTTACGGATTAAGAAGTGGTTAAGGCTTAAATAACATAATCATTCTCTTCCCTACTGGGGAGAAATTCACTCCACGGGGAGCAGAGGAGGCTGCATGCTTCAAGTTCCTGCTGGGCATCCCCACGCCTACCGCAGTATATTGTGCTCCTGACTGTTGGATTTCTCACTGCTGTGATACCAGAACTAAAGCAAGTCCCACAGAAGGAAAATGATGGTCTAGTGATTAAGGTGCTAGCCTCGCACTGGGGAGCGCAGCGTTCAACTCTCTTCTCTGCCGCCGTGTGATCTTGATCAAAACACTTGGTTTTTCTGTTCTCCGTCTGTAAAATGTAGCACTTTCCTATCTCACAGGGTGTTGTGAGGCTAAATCCATAAAATAGTGTAGGGTACTCAGGTACTATAGTAATGGAGGCCTTATAGGTACCTAAGATAGATAGTGATGCTAAATGCATTTTCTGGGCCCTCTGAATGAAGGAGACTATCACCCTAAGTGAATACAATAAATTATTTTATTTAAATAAAGCTTTAACCACTTCTTATCCAATCAAGTACATATGACTGTGGCATTCATGTAGTGCAGAGGCCCTGAATTTCACTTTTGGCCCGTCAAAGGAGAATTG